TTGCTGGCTGGGGAATTCTGGGAGTTGAAGTCCTCCAGGCTTAAAGTTGCCAAGGTTGGAGACCCCTGATTTAGAAGACAGTGGAGCACCTGTTATTTTTTTTCCCCAGTATGTTTTATCAGTTCTTGTTTTTGGTTTCTTGCTCCCCAGGGCGCACACCTCCATTTGGTGGATACCTTTGGATCCCTTTTGATCCAGCAAGCAACCAGCCTCAGCACCATGGACTCCACAGTTCAGTCTTGAGCTCCAGATATTCTATTGTCATGTTAAGTTTTCAGTAAGTGGAACAGCGAAAATGCAAAGAACGGCAAGAAGGTGGGACAGAGTTACCAAACTAAACATACGAATAGGCTAAGGAACAAACTTTTGATCCAGGGGTGGGATTATACTTTGTTCCTTTGCTGTCATTGTGTTTCGTTCGTTAACACCCCCCTCTCCTTCTTGCTGTCTTTGTATTTTTGCTGTTCTACTTACTGAAAGCTAGATGACAATGCAGGTAGGCCTTGACTTACAACAGTTCACTTAGTGACTGTTTGAAGTTATAGCAGCACTGAAAAAAGTGACTTATGACCATTTTTCACACTTACGGCCATGGCAGCATCCCCGTGGTCACATGATTTATATTCAGATGCTTGACAACCGATTCTCATTTACGATGGTTGCAGTGTCACTTTTTGCAACCTTCTGACATACAAAGTCAATGGGGAAAGCCAGATTCACTTAACAATCCTGTTACTAATTGAACAGCTGCAGTGATTCAGTTCACTAATGTGACAAGAAAAAGTCATAAAATGAGGCAAAACTCAATAAATTTATCACTTAGCAACACAAAGTTTGGGCTCAACTGTCAAAAGTCAAGGACTACCTGTAGAATATCTGTAGTGTAGGAGTGAACTATGGAGTTCTTAAGTGCTGTCTGAGCTTGGTTGTTCACGTGCAGATGTTCATTAGCAAACTAGGTAACATCATCAGTGTCAGTGAGTGTAGAGTTTGCTTTCTGTTTATATACAGTTGCTTGGCAGTTTTTGGTGGGGGTCTAATAGGGCAGTGAAACATCTGCAAGCGAACAACCAAACTCAGAGAGCACTAAGGAGTGCATAACCAGATGCAGTCAAATTCCTGTGTGCTTCAAAATAATTAAATGTAAATGTTCTCAGCTATGATCCCAGGGGATTGTCAGCAGATCTCAAATGGGCAAAAAAGCAGTAAATAGTGAATTAAACAAGCATTTGTGAGATCATTTTGTGGATTCCAAGATGAAAAGAGATTTTTTTTTCTTTGTTTAAAACTAATGAGACCTTGAACGCAAAAATATAATACAGGAGAGGGGATTTGCATGCATTTTATTTCAAAATAATTTGTTATCTTGTTTAGTTTTTTTCCTGATTATTGGAAATAAGACAAATGAGAAAAGTTAAAATTCAAATATTTACAATGTCCCTTCTCTTTCTTTCAGGAAGAATAATTGGAGAAGTGGGAACCTCCAGTTTGTAGCTATGTCTGGGATTGGGAATAAACGAGTGGCTGCGGAGACTAGCCCATCAGCTCCTCCAGACAAGAAGGCAGGAGTTGAGGACTCAGAGACCACTGTGGAGACTATTAAGCTTGGTGGCGTTTCCTCAACGGTTTGTATATCATGTTGGGTTTTACTCTTTCTGTGGAATGCAATATTAATTTTGATTATTATGCTCTCCTGGACTACCACAGCCACTGGGATGAGTTCTATCACAAAGCCGGATGGACTTGGGTCTAACTTTCATGGAATGATAAATTTGTTTCTAGGATAGGATGTGGATGATTAGTTGTGAGTCCTTATTCGTTCCTTTTCCCTTTCATACTAATTTTCTTTATGAATTTTTACAGGAAGGTGGATATTTGAGAAACATTGTATGATAACCCCTTCCCTATAGTGTAAAATGTTATGAATTGGATTTTGATATGTAGATACCTAGCATTCTCTAGATCTTTTGCAATTCAGTAGCAAAGGATTGGATATTTTGGTCCAAAAATGTGGAGACCATCAGGTTGCTTATTTGCTGACTTACCACTTCAGACATACATTGAAATGAATAGTTGTTCTTCCCAAACCTAGATCAACAGTGTAATCACTATACCATGTTGACTGTATTTCAGGAAGAACTGGACATTCGCACACTTCAGACTAAGAACCGAAAACTGGCAGAGATGCTGGACCAAAGACAAGTTATTGAAGATGAGCTGCGAGAGCATATAGAGAAGCTGGAAAAGCGTCAAGCCACAGATGATGCTTCGCTACTGATCGTCAACCGCTACTGGAGTCAGGTCTGTTGCATTTTTCTCCTAATGATCTCATCCCTTTAATTTTACTTGGCAAACTCTCTTATCAGTGAAACGTGTCCTCTTTTCAGTTTGATGAGAACATTCGCATCATTTTGAAACGCTATGACTTGGATCAAGGCCTTGGGGATCTCCTGTCAGAGCGAAAAGCATTGGTGGTACCAGAACCAGAGCCCGATTCAGACAGCAACCAAGAGCGTAAAGATGAGAGGGATCGAGGTAAAGTATCTGATACAGGATGGTAAATGTTTTACAAAATGCTTATGATCTCATGGTAGTATGAAATAGTTTATTGTTTGGATCCAGATTACATCTAGTTATAATTACTTTCTTGCACTATTATAATTTAGGAGAAATATTTGAACCTGCATTCTCCTTTCTGGCTACACTGGCTAGTAGCACTAGTGAGGAAATGGAATCCCAGCTACAGGAACGTTTTGAATCTTCCCGCCGTGCAGTCACACAGATTGTGTCAATGTATGATAAACTTCAGGAGAGAGTAGATGTGCTGTCTCAGAAACTAAACAGTGGAGGTATGGCATTTTCCAGAATTTATGGATATACTATATTGTATTTTCAAAACATTTGTACTTAAATAACCTTTCAGGGAATATGGGTTAATCTGTTGCTAGTCCGTTGACTTTACTGCCAATTTGACAAATAAATAATGATTTTTTGGTTCTTTTGAAATTATGCTAAAAAGAGATATTTGGCTGGAATTGCAACTTCACATTAAGAGGGTTGCCACAATAGGGCAGACTACACCTTGTAATAAACTGGAATTATTAGATAAAACAAAATTTGAATCTGATATTTGACTTTTTTCATATTACTAGATTTCCAATTCCCATTACTCCTGGCTATTGCCCATATTGTCTGAAGCTTTTCAATCCAACAAACGTGTTTTGATAACCTTGAGTACATTATCTTGTTGGATCTGGGAATTGGTGATTTGCCACACCTTCCAAGTTAAATGATGTGTCTATTCTTACATGCTTAGATCCAAACTACTTGCAGGTTAACCTATATAATCCAGTCTGCACTGTAGCTCATCAAAAGGCATCTTTGTAATCTTCCTGTCACACATGTGGTACTATTTGGTTCAGATGCTTTTTGAATTTGATCCATCTTTTTATTGCTGAATTACATTTGTTTTCTGATTTAGTTGAACTAATAAAATCAGTGAACAACCTTCATTTTGGTTGCTTTATGTAGATAGTACCAAACATCATTAATATTTCAACTTATTCATGGTAGACTTTTGCTGCTTGAGGTTTGAATCCACAATGGTTATTTATATATTTTATAATTTGTAGTTACTTCATTTTATGTTTGATTTCTTTATTGTACTTTAGTTCTGTGTAATGGGGAGTTCACTACAATGTTATTTATACCATTATAAATGTATTTAGAAATATTTGTAAAAGTGAAAAGAAATAAAAAGGAAAAGCAATAAAATGCTATAGGAAAGAGAAATCCTAAAATCTTCTGATGTAGTATAGAATCAAAATATACATTAGAGAGCGATTGTGGCACAATGGTTAAAATGCAGTATTGCAGGCTGCTACTACCAACTGCCAGCAGTTGGATTCTGATTGGCTCATGGTTGACTTGGTCTTCCATCCTTCTGATGTCATTAAAATGAGGATGCAGATTGTTGGGGCAATATGCTGACTCTGTAAACAGCTTAGGGAGGGTCGTAACTGTTATGAAGTGATATATAAATCTAAGTGCTATTAGCACTAGCACTTAGACTTATATATCGCTTCACAGTGCTTTGCAGCCCTCTCTAAGCAGTTTACAGAACCAGTGTATTGCCCCCAACAATCTGGGTCCTCATTTTACTGACCTTGGAAGGCTGAATCAACCTTGAGCTGGTGAGAATCGAAGTAACAAACTGCTGGCAGCAGGCAGTCAGCAGAAGTAAGCCTGCAATACTGCATTCTAAACACTGCGCCACTGTGGCTCTATTGCTGGGGTGTCAAACACACGGACTGCGGGCCAGATGCGTCCCGTGCTGGCCCCACCCCCGCCCAATTTAGCGAAGGGGGAAAAAGTCCCAATACATCACGTGACGCTGTGTGTTTGATACCCCTGCTCTATTGCTATACATTGCTTCATTAGATCTATTTTTGGACAATTATTTCCAAATTTTATTTTTGAAATTATTTTCAAAGTTTAACAATAAAAACTATGAAGAGTGCAAATGTTTTATTAGTTATCCTGTTTTTTTGAAACAATAGCCTAAAATTATTCAAGATGATTTAGAATTGTTCCCATCATTCTGAAGTCTGTTCTTAAAATCTGTAAGGCTAGAAACTTTCTTTAAAAAATAAAAATAATTGGGTTCCTATGAAAAATGTTATCATTATTGTGTCTTGTTTATTTCTATTTTTTAAAGAAAATATTTAGAGGCCTGATAGCTTCAATATGATAGTGTTCATTTTCCCCCCTCATCTTCAGATGTATCCCTAATGGAAGAGGCTGTTCAAGAGCTGAATTCCTATCTAGCAAATGAGAACAGAAGGCTGCAGGAATTGGCTGATTTGCTTCAGGAGAAACATCGCTCTATGTCTCAAGAGGTACAAGGAAAGGTTCTATGAAGCCATGTAGTAAAAGTGTTGGGGCCAGGAAAATTGTGACCTGATTTTGTGGGGCAAAGGAAAAGACATAAAGGAGAAGGACGCTAATTAAGAAGTTGCTGAATCTTACATATAAATTATTTGCTTGGCCTTGTAATCTACACAGTGCAAAATTTGAGGGCTCTAGGAGAAGAATAGGTTGGTGAGGTTCAATGAAGGGGGAAACTAGAAGCCTAAAAGCAGGTTGTGAAGAAGAAAACAGGAAAAACAGGAAGCAGAGCTCTCATGGTGCCAGCCAGTTAGGTGAATAGTATACATTTATGTGTATCACACTATTAATAAAGCAGAAACAACATTGAGTGCAGTTCATTGTTCTGAATCCTATGGGTGCAACTGGTCTTTTCTCATTCATTAGCTACCATGGGAAGTGCAAATAAAATATTTGTTAATTTTAAATTTATTTTTATTGTAAAACTCTGAGACTTTAGAATTCACCAATACACCAAGTTAAATAAGCACTGCTTCGTATATATTGATTGTGGGTAGGAATAGGCTTTTGGAGGTTACAAGAAGGGAGTGCTGATGGCTGCACCCAGACATTCTGTTTATTCAGATATTATTGGGACAACAGCATCAGTGTTCTCATAATTTTTCTGCTTGGAGCGTGAGCCATAAGATTATGGCTTCTCATCTCTATCAAGTTACAGTTTCACCATCCTCTTTGGCACTTGATATCCTCAACTTATTCTCAAATAATTGACAAACTCAGCTATTCAAGTAGTAAGGCTTCACACATATTTCTCCCCAATGGCTGCTGTAGGCTTTGTTGAAATTCATGGGTCCTAGGTGGAGAATATGAATGCACTACAGGTAGTCCTTGATTTACAATAGTTTATTTAGTGACCGTTCAAAGTTACAACTGCATTGAAAAAATGTCTTATGACTGTTTTTCACACTTATGACTATTGCAGCATCCCCATGGTCACCTGATCAAAATTAAATGCTTGGCAAGTAGTTCATATTTATGACAGTTGCAGTGTCCTGGGGTCATGTGATTATTTTTTGCGACCTTCAGACAAGCAACGCGAACAACTCTGTAACTTAACAGATGCAATGATTCACTTAACAACTGTAGCAAGAAAAGCCATAAAATGGGACAAACTCACTTATCAGATGCTTCACTTAGCTACATAAATTTTGGGCCCCATTGTGGTTGTAACTTGAAGACTACCTGTAATATATGGAGGTGAATTAACCATCAAGCTAGTTTTGGACTGAGGTGCAATATATTGGGGTACAAGAGTTGCATTCTCTCTAAAAGATCACAGCCTTAGGTAGTTCTGTACCTTGCATTGTTCTTGGAGGACAGAGACTATAGCTACTCTGGCTAAGAAAAAGAGATGCTGGCCACCTTCACTTCTTGTCTTAAATATTGCAGCATGGACAATAGGGGGAAGCTTCTGGACAGTATTTAGAATTGAAAGCAAGGTCAAAATGCCATATTGCTCTCTGCAGAGTGCTGTGGTCATTGTCATTTGTTCTCTGTGAATTGCACTAGCAGCTTCTTTGTTTCTCAATGATGTTCAAGATGTTGATTCTTGGAACCAGCATTTCTCACTTTTAATGAATACTTTATTCTGATACTGTTAGTCCTACTCACTAACAATTAAGTTAGGTTACTTACTTTCAGTTTTCCCTTTGTGTCTTGCTTTCAGCTATAAATGCATTTTAAATATTTTTCAATATTCAGTTTAAAAATTGTAAGTCTGTCAAAGCAATGCCGCCTTTTGTAGGGGAAAAGCTTGACATATTAAACAGGAAATTAATAAATGAAAAACTTGCCTTCTCCATTTTCCTGCCTGCAATTTAATTCATTGTTCTCCTGTTGTATGAGGACAATCCCATAATTATTAGTCAGCATGAACATTTGCTTCAGAAAAAAGTATTCTGTAACTGGCATTTTAAAACTGAAATGATTCTCATGTTGTGAAGGTGCTTTTAGAGTTGTAGATCAACACTGTGGCACAGAAACAAGTCATTTGTAGGATGCACATTATGCATAGGTTATGGAATTTGTAGTGACATCCTGAATGGAATGGGCTGAATGGGTGCAGTGGAAAGGAGGAGCAAAGAGGGAAGTTTCGTTAGTAGCCCCTGAAAATTCCTTTGTTTGAAAGCATGTGACAGTGGCATCCTTGGTGAAGGTATAAGTCAAATTTAAGATGTTTATGTAACACGCAGAATGTCAAAACTGAGTAGTTGCTCTTGAGAATAAACCCAGGAATCTCATTTAACTTCCATCCCTTCTAATTTCTTTGCCTCAGTTTTCTAAATTACAAGGGAAAGTAGAGACAGCAGAGTCTCGTGTATCTGTGCTAGAAACTACGATTGAAGACTTGCAATGGGATACGGATAAAATCCGCAGACGAGAACAGCGGTTGAACAGGCACCTGGCAGATGTTCTAGAAAGAGTAAGTAGTAGTCCCAGATTGAAAAACAGGAACATATATTTCTCGGTTAATATGAAAATGTGGTCATCAACTTGGACTTTCTTTCCTACTTCGGCATTTTGCATTTCAGTGACGGTTTCTGAAGTTGCACAATGATTGTAAAGTAAGGCAGTTTTTTAAAAAAACAAGAAACTAAATAGATGAAATTAGAGGAAGTAAAATATAAAAATGTTAATATATTGCCTTTCAGAAAAAAAGCTTTCTACTTAGAATTTCCTCTTGGAAAATTGTTCTTGAAAGGCAGTGGAAACTGGACATCTTTCAAGGGCTGCTCACTTGTTATGAAAAGGTTTACAATAGCTTGTGGTAGTGCTTTAAATAGCTTCCTGCCTTTCCCTGAAAGAAATAACATTGTATTATTATAATAAATACACTATTCTAAAAGCAATGTATTAATAAATAAAATAAAATTGAATAAAATAATATTTTGGAATTTGGCTTTTACACCTCACTTGAAATTGTTTTGAGTCAGAATAAAGTCTTTAATTCAGTGTTTTTTCTTCATAAACCATGGCTAAATATTTCTCTAATCTATTTTTTGCATTATCTATATGCATCTCCATGAGTGGCACAAATTATTGCTATTGATAATTTCGTTTCAAAAGTTAAAAGGCACATATAGAGAAAGAACCAAAAAACTTTTTAACCTTTATATATGCAGAGGGAAATCTTAAAATATTTTCAAAAAAGTTGGGGAGACCAAATACATTATCATTTTCTATTTGATGATGGCAGTAAGGATCAGTCCTTAACTCCAATTGGATAAGTTTTTATTTTGCACAATTTGCAGCTTTGTGAACAGTGCCCTAGTAATAACAACTGTAAAATGTTTCAAAACAGATAATCTTAATATATGTTTTATTGTAAACCTTACAGGTAAACTCAAAAGGATACAAGGTATATGGAGCAGGTAGCAGTCTCTATGGAGGTACAATCACAATCAACTCTCGAAAGGTAACTTTTAAAAGTTCAGCAGCAGGTTATAAAAAACAGAGGTAGTGGGGGGATCAGAGTGTGAGAGCACAAAGCAAAGGATGTTACATATTTGTCATCCTGGTGTTCTTCCATTTTGCAGTTTGAGGAGATGAATGCAGAACTTGAGGAGAACAAGGAACTTGCCGAAAACCGTTTGAGCGAACTAGAAAAATTGCGTCAGGATCTTGAGGAGGTGACAACTCAGAACGATAAGCTAAAGGTATGAATGGGGCATGTGTTTCCCAAAAGTCTGGAAGCTGCGTTAAATTTGAAAGTGTAGCTCTCTCTCACATCTGCAAGGCTTTATTTAATTTTGGAGTCCATCCAAGAGTCAGAATTAGCAGTCAATAGTTCCTGTCTTTGTGTTATTGAATGGATCAGTTTTCCCAGATGTGTCTTGTGAATGGGTGAAGGATTGTATGCAGAGATGAAATCTCTGCAGTACTTGGAGGGCACTATCAGAAGTTTAAGTCAGGAAGACCATTGGTTTTGGTCAGTGTCCTAACCCCAAACCTTTACAGTCTGCTGCTTATTCATCAGAGTATAGTAGTCAGTCTGGATATGTGAGTGAGACAGGAACCAATCCAGGAACTCAAAACAGCTCTCTTTCCAAGAAGAAGCTTTGGCCCATGGGAATATCTCTTGGAGCCAAAAGTAGCCCTTTCTAACAACAGCAGCTCCCATAAAGGGCAGATCATTGCATTTGTGCAATGGATTTATGTATTTATTAATGGCATTTATATAGCTACCCATCTTAAAACCAAATTCTGGGTGGCTCTCAAGCCAGGAATATAAGCAGTAAAATAGAAAACAATAAAACCAAGAACAGAAAAACACAATTTGCAACCAAAGTTCCTCAATGCAATCCATAACAATACTTTGGGGAAAAATAAGTTCTTAAGTGCTTTCTGGAAAGTTAAAAGGGTAGGTGCCTGCCAGATCCCAAGAGAAAGAGGGTGAATGATGAATTGTTCCAAGTGTATCAAAAGGATCAGGATGATTAACTTCTTAGTTTACTGCAAAAGCCCAAGGTCTGAAGAAAAGAAGCCGTTTCCTACCTAGCCTGGAGCTTGCTATTTGTCAAAATGAGCATGCCCTAAATGTAGGCCAAAGATGCAACACTTGCATCCATACTGAATTGCAGCCTGCTGGCATCACTTTTGTTGATGCCTGAAACCTCATATCTAAGAATTTATTGATCCTTTTAAAACATTTCAGGAAGCTTTGGTAAGTTTTGTAAAGTCTTAAGTCTAACAGATGGTTAATGCATCCATTTAATCTCTTAGAAGTCCTGAACTCCTTCTTTTCTGGAGAACAGCCCTCAACATGATATGCCAAACCTGATATTATTAACCCTTCAAATTGATATAAATTGTAACCTCTCCAGATCTATGGTATGGGCGGAATTTAGCAGATATAAACTGCTTTGATTTATTGTCTTAATTCATAATTACTTTCTGTTTTCTCCTTAAAAAAAGTATTGCAAGAGTGTATAACTCCACATTCTCGATATGCTATGTTGATTTTAATACATTAGCTTCATTGTAACTGGTACACCAGTAGTTAGGAAGTAGATTTGTCTGATGCAATGCTGCCCCTCTCTGGACAAAATGGAGATGTTAGCAACATATTTTGTTTATATTATCTTAAATATTACTCTGATATTTATTCCAAAATAGAAACAGATTCTGTTTCCAAAATAGAAACAAGATTATTACATACATTATTTAATATATATTTTTCTCATATAGCTGAAAGCCAGATAGTTAAGGTTTGAAGCACTCCTCCATTTAGTCTCTGAAAACCACTCAGATTTGCTTAACTTTAACTAGATTGCTGTTGAGTTGTCCATCTTCTCATAGTGTCAATCTGCACAGTTCTTTTTACAGACTTCCCAAAATATACATGAGCAAAGCTGTATATATGATATCCTAGATATGTTGTGTGTTTTGATTTTACTTGGGGAAACAAAAACACAAACAAGATATTAAGATCATTCCATTGCCTTAGAGAACTCATGTCTCTTGAAATTAGGGACATGTTGTGATACATATTTTATTGCAAGGAATATATAGTTGGAATACCATTGATTATCCAGTTGATCAGTTGAACACTTCTTGAAACTTTAGCCTTGTTTCAGTGTTACAATTGCAACATTTAATAGTTGACATCACTAATATGATATAAAATAAAGTCAGGTCTCTGTAAAAATCAAACATTCAGAGCAATGTTGTAGGTGGGGAAATGGCAACATGTCTTTTGGGTGCCATGGTCTCAGCAATGCCATCAAATTGATAAATAACTGGGTTCCAGTATATTTTGTTTGTAGGCAATGATCAGTTGAACAAACAAAACTTAAAAGTTGGCAGTCTTCATATTGACCAGTGTTCCTCAGCCTGACAAGTTGAAGATACTTGAACTTCAAATTTAAGATTTCTGGAGCCAACAACATGCTGGCTGGGGAATTCTGGGAGTTTGAGTCCACACATTTTGAGTCCGCAAGACTGAGAAACAGTGATATAGGCAGTAATATGAACCAAGGTTATAAATTCCTTGCAAACCCATGGCTTGCTTTTTTTCCTGGGATATTCCATTGGATAGATGTAAAATTGATTATTAATATAAATAACTTTCTCCTGAACTTTGCCCTGAACTTCTACTTTTAATACATGCATCTAAATATCCAGTGATATAACTCATGGTATGAATTGAATACAAGTCTCTGATGGGATAACTTCAGTTCAAGAAGTTGTCCTGCGGTTGTTTTAGCTTCTCTCTTTATTTTGCCTTCAAGATACCCTAATAAAGCTTGTTTGGAAATCATGTTGCATCCTCTTACTTTATTATGCTATATATAAACTTTGCTACAAAATATGCAGGGTGCTGATTATATTTTATCAGAGCAATACATAAATGTTTACTACATGTATGTGCTTTATTTTAAGAATTACGAGTAGCTTCAGATTATATTGCCAGATTTATTGTTGTTTTCTTTTTTAATGGCCATTTGGGATTTTATGTAAAAGCTTGATAGCAATTTTATTTTATTAACCATCTTGGAAAGAATTTTGTTCCAAGGATTGTCTTTGTTGTTATGAATGAAAGGGTAACCTAACTTTCAGATTTGGGACAGTTGTTTTCCTTGTGTATTTTTTGGATTGCATTTTATTGCCTTTATTTCTATCAAGTATATATATATATATGTTTCTATCAACCACTTCTCTTTCATGGGCCCAACCAGGTGGATCTAAGGCGGGCAGTGGAAGAGGTAGTGAAGGAAACTCCAGAATACCGTTGCATGCAATCCCAGTTCTCTGTATTGTATAATGAGAGCCTCCAGTTAAAATCACAGCTGGATGAAGCCCGCACTCTGCTACATGGTACCCGAAGTACTCACCAGCGCCAGGTGGAACTGATTGAGGTAATGGCTTTCTCCCTTTGTGTCTCTTACTTTGTCCTGAAAATATAAGAAAATTAGTATTTGTTGAGGTAATTCCCCGTTAGGAGAATGAGCGCATACAGGGAGACGTATAGAGAGTAGTGTTGGAATAATACACACAGAGCACACAGATACACTGTACAGTAAATGTAGGTTTTTACTTCCAGAAAGGTTTAAGCAAAGTCCAAAATAAGCAATCCAAAGTCATTCACAAGTTAAATCAGTCAGTTTTCAATCCAGGGATAATCCAAATATCAAAGTCCAGTGTCAAAAAACAGTTCAGTGACAGACTTACATTAAATCCAGTAATATCAGTCAATTAGGAAAAATGGAAGAACGGCAATATTTTCCAACAGAAGGAAACAGAGATGGAGACACACTCTCTTCTGAGATTAAGACTAAGACAATCCAGGTTTCTGGCCCCATTTTATGGCCGTTTCAAAAACCACACCCAATTGCAGTTTTTGCAATCTCTTAAAGACATAGTACTAAAATGTTTATCCTGGTTTATATATTTCTAACCCAAATACCTGTTAGGTGACTTACATTCCTAACAGTATTAATTCTTTTGCTGCTTTGCTCATTCCAAATGCTTTGGACATTGTAACTCCTGCTAGTCCCAGCTATGTGATATATGGTTCTTGGTAGTTCGGAACATTTCAGGGTGAAAATGTTTTTGCAACACCATCTTTAAAACCTGTGTATCAACATCAGGATAATCAGGTGGAGATTGTAAAGACATAAGCCATTTGTAGGTAAGTAGCAAGTAACTATTGACTTACTTAGAATAAAAAAAAGTGCAGACAGAAATAGATGTTATCCATTTTTTGTTTCAAGTAAACTGCGTAACTTCTGTTTACGGGAATACCCATTATGGTTCTGGAAAGTGTATTTACAGCCTTTCTTCATCATGGCAGCATTAATGCAGTAACCATTGTTTTGCCTTGCCAGCGGGATGAAGTCAGTTTACATAAAAAATTACGAACAGAGGTTATTCAGCTGGAAGACACTCTTGCCCAGGTTCGCAAGGAATATGAGATGTTGCGGATTGAATTTGAACAGACTCTTGCAGCTAACGAACAAGCAGGTACTTCATATCAGGTCTCTCATAGTGATCCTAATTTGTTGCTTTTGCAAAACCACCTGCACAAATAATCTTTTTAACACTGCATAGCTTCACTAGTGACGTAGCTCTTCATGATTGAACGTTAAAGGGCCATTGATTTTAAGATGCATATGAACTTTCAAGTAAGCCTAAAGCATGGTGGTACACAAATCTAATGGATTGATGGATGGATGTGAGTCATGAAGATTCCACTTCTATAGTACAGTATTTTTGATTCATTAGCATGGGGGTTTTAAAGAGCACTTTCTGTGTGTTCTCGCAATATTTTTTTAATTCCACTATAGGTCCTTTTATAATTGGATTGCTAGAATCACAGGAGCTAAAGCCCTTTATAAGCAGCATTTTGAAGGATGGCTCCTATTTGATCATCTGCAAAATTCTTGTGTTCAATATGAATATGACACTGTCTTTTTGAGCAGCATTTCAATAACTGGAAATGACCAGAGATCAAAAGAAGGGTCTTTTGGTCATTGAGAAATGACATTTCATTTGATTTGGAGGCTTGTATTAGTCGTCCCTAATATAAATCTTCATTGGTTACAATTAATCTAGGAATTAGTCTATTTGAGAAAGGGTTATTTATGGCAGAATTGAGGAGAAGTTGATATAATACATCTTGTTATGTGTGTGTGTGTTGTAGGCCCCATCAACCGAGAGATGCGCCACCTCATCAGCAGTCTCCAAAATCACAATCACCAGCTAAAAGGGGAGGTGTTGAGATATAAGCGGAAGTTGAGGGAGGCTCAGTCTGACTTGAGCAAGGTAAGGGAAATGGAAAAATAAAGATTGTCTCAAAAAACTGGAAGCAAAAAGGTGTGTGTGCATTAGTTTGGGTTTGAAGAACATGTGGGAGAGTCTTTGCATGACTAGCTGTGCTTTTTTAAAAGATAGCTCTTGATATTTATCATTTTATAAGTACTCCTATTAGAAATGTTTCTTAAACTACTATCCAGGTAGTTTTAATTGCTTGAAATTAGTAGCTTCAATTGATCCATTCTGGCTATTTTTGCAGAAAAGCACAGTAAATGAAATGTGGAAGAAAAGCAAGTTGTGTGCGGAAAACACTGCAATCTGGAGATAGATCATTTATTTGGGAGGTTCTCTTACTGTTCCAGATCACGTCTAGAACACCACAAAACATGGCCTGTTTCAGAAAATTGTATTTATAAAGATTGCGGCCCACCCCCAGAATGCATTATAGTATCTCAGAATTCCCCATACTATTCCATCCTTAAGTTCCAAATTTTAATTAGTTTTATCAAAATATAAAATACAAAGAAAAATGAAAATAGTGGGAAAGCGAGGGAGGAAGAAGAGAAGACAAATGCAGGACAAAAGAGGCATTGTCTTCCTATCCTTTTAAGCATAGTAAAATAAAATAATAATATACAGCCTCAACTTTTTACTTTTACATAATAATATATACTAGCTATTTCTATAACAAAGCTTTCTAATCAGCAAAACCCAAGATCAAAATTTCACTTTTTTCCATCCCAGGCACAAAGTCGAGAAGCGGTTTCCAACTGGAAACAAAGTTAGCTGTATTCTTTGATTAGGTCAGTCAATTTAGCCATCTCTGCTAATTCCATCAGTTTTTTCCAGCCAGCCATCTATTGTGGGAATTAAAGTATCTTTCCATTTTTATGCACAAAGCATTCTCGTTGCTATGACTAATGTTCTATCTTCAGGATAGAATATTTGCATGTATCAACTGCACAGGATGTAAAGGATAATATACAATGATCTCTGTATTTTCACATTTGGATGAACAAAAAAGTATCCCACCCTACCCCATTTTTGAAAGTGCCTTGGTGTGTTTTGGCTGTAAAATGAAGGTAAAGAAGAGGTGTATATATCTTTTTGAAAACCCATGTCGAAAGTATCCCTAATAAATTGTTCTTCTACTCCAGACTCGTTCTCGCAGTGGCAGTGCTGTCCTGCACTCCCAATCCAGTACTGAAGACACCAAGGAGGAACCATCAGAGATCAAACAGGAAGCTGAGGATCCTTCTCATGCTGCAACCTCCAAGGGACCCTCAGAGGATGCCTTGGAAACTAAAGCAAAACGAGATGAAGAAGAACGGGAGAGGGAAAGACGAGAAAAAGAGCGGGAACGGGAGAAAGAGAAAGAAAAAGAAAGAGAAAGGGAAAAGGAGAAAGAAAGGGAAAGGCAGAAGCAAAAGGAATCTGAGAAGGAGAGAGAATCTACCAAAGAGAAAGATAAAGGGAAACATGATGATGGAAGGAAGAGAGAAGCTGAGTTGGTAAAGCAATTGAAAGCAGATCTTAAGTAAGTTGATCTGCATATTTTTCTTTTCTTGGGAAGTGGTACTGTGATAGCTGACATTCCTATGTGACATTCCTATGTCAAAAAAAAGAAAAGAAAAAGAGGGATTAAAGTTGGGTCCTAGATCTTGAAAAGTGTTTCCTTTTTAAACAGTGGGTTAAACTACAGATATTGTCAATTTACAAAGGGGATCCCTGGATTTGTGGAAGTCACCTGGGATTGCTTCTAGGCTGCCTGCACCAACGAAGTGATGAAGCATCTGTGTGAGATGCTCATAGCATTCAGTCCCAATTAATAGCCTTTCAGCTATATAAGTTGCAGTTTCTAGGCCATTTGCAAAGGGCTGGTAATAAGCAACACCATCACATTCCACAGCCAGCATTTTTTCAGGTTTTCTCCTATGAGACACTCACTTTCTTGGAACTTTCACTTAGCAAGAAGTGATCTTGCAGCCTCCAGTTGTGACACCATCTAGGGTCAAGTTCATTTATTGATTTGTTCCATCACAGTTACAGAACAAAACGAACGGCCCTTTTTTTCTGTTTTGTCCCCAACATCACTCCTGGGGACAATAAGCCCTAACTTAGTGGGAAGAGTGAGCTGAATTGTTTGCAACTAGACAGTGCTAAACCGTTTTACCTTTATAAATTCTGTTTTATTTTCCAATCTACTCAGGAAGGCACAAGAGAGCCAGAAAGAAATGAAGTTGTTGTTAGATATGTATCGCTCTGCTCCCAAAGAGCAGAGAGACAAAGTTCAACTGATGGCTGCTGAAAAGAAGTCTAAAGCTGAGGTAATCATATTTGATGTGGTCCAACTCCAAAGTATATTCCGTTCTAATCTCTCCCATAATATAATGGACTCTGATTTTTAAAGCTCATAAAGCAATCTGGAAATTTGGGAGTCAAATTAGAAGTGATCTCCATTGAATGTTTAAAGCCTATTAAGCATTCAGATTCTGCTTGTCAGTTGGAAATGTACCAACTGACAAGCAGAATCTGAATGCTTGAAATGTAGAATATAAAGGGATTGACTTTAAATATTCAATAGAGATCACTTCTAATTCGACTCCAAGTTTCCAGATTTCTTTATGGACGCTTTTAAAAGGAGTTTGGCTTACAAGTCCATAAAAAAGAATCCTTGCCTTTTCTTTGCAGTCTAAAAAAGACATAGAATAAACAAAGAACAGGAACCAAACAAAGAGAACAGGAAAACAAGAATTTTTGGGTATTGGGTCCTAGTGAAATATTGATCTTATAATGAATATAAAAGAACATGACACAAGTCATTATCTTTTTGTGTCACAAACTGGAGTGGAATCAGTTCTGTTTTTTGTTTTTTTTTCATTTAAACCAGTGATACGATTCCTCTTCCTTTCTCTCCAACTGCTGTGCAGTTCAATGGGTTGATGCAGACTCCTCTTTTTTTTGTTAAATTTTGTAAGATGGCATTCTGCCTAGTGCTAATTAGCAAATATATCAAACCTTTTTACTTCCTCCAAGTAATTATGAACAAACTTTAGGATCCTTTGAGCTATCCTCCTCCTTTACTGTTTGCGTATTCATTTTCTATTCCTTTAAAAACAAAAACTTTTCTCCTGGACAATTCTGCTTGTACAGTTGGAAGATCTAAGACAAAGGCTTAAGGAATTGGAGGATAAAGAGAAGAAAGAAAGCAAAAAGATGGCTGACGAGGACGCGCTCCGGAAAATCCGGGCTGTGGAAGAACAGATAGAGTACTTGCAGAAGAAAGTAGCCATGGCAAAACAAGTAAGAAATAGTAATGAGATAGTTGAGAGGCAAGCAGATTGTCTTATTCTTCAAGGATTCTAAATCTTTGATTTACTCTTAATGACTAGGTAAGAGATGATTGGAGTTTAGAATGTTGATATTTTTCTGTCTTCTCACTATACCCCCACCAGATATCCACGTCCAAGTGGAGTCATCTACTTCGCTAGGAAAATGCATATTTGTGGTAAATTATATGTATCAGAAAGGTAGAATCCAGGATATACTACATTAGATAATTTATGTTAATTAATAAATTGGTTTAAATTATATGCCAATAACTAACAAAAAAATAATAATCTAGAATCTCCTGATAGTTATTTTTTCATCACAAACATAATCACAAACTGATGAGGCCATAATGATGATATGCTTACGATGATGCCATGGTTACATATTTGATGCTACTGTTACATATTTGAGTCCTGATGTCCGAAGTAAATACTGTACATAGATTGCAACATAAAAATAGTCCTCTTTTACTGACTGCCTCATACAGCAGCCTTTTCTGCTTACGAAGGTGATGAAAAGGTAACTATGCAGCCAATCCTTACATTTACAACCTTTGCAGGTCCGTAAAGCAAAGGCAAGCTGAAGTGCGATTTTAAGCACGGTTGCGGTTTCACTTAGTGGTCACTTTGGTTGGTGACCGAGTTGCCAGTACCAATTGTAGTCATTAAAGAACACACTCTCTGTATTTGCTCACATGATGATATCACTCAAAAGTCATTTATATCCCCTCCTGTCAAGCGCCGACACATTTATCGACGTGTATCATAGTGTCCAGGAAAGGTGGAAACCATCTCCCTCTCGATTGCAGGAGGAAGAAGCCCTGCTATCCGAAATGGATGTGACAGGCCAGGCCTTTGAAGACATGCAGGAGCAAAACATCCGCCTGATGCAACAGCTGAGGGAAAAAGATGACGCCAACTTCAAGCTCATGTCGGAACGCATCAAATCCAACCAGATCCATAAACTATTAAAAGAGGAAAAGGAGGAGCTGGCAGACCAGGTCCTTACCCTGAAGACACAGGCAAGTGGGGAAAATGAGAAGAGGAGCAGAACAGGAACCTAGAAGTCTTAAATTCTTTGACCAAGACATAAGTTGAAAGTGCAGTTGTTACCAGTGAGAGACTGCATCTTAAGACTGAGTTGTGTGTACATTTTTAACCATTATTTTTTGAGCAGTTTGGCAGTAATCTGGCTTCTTTTTACATAGGGGCAGATGACCTAGAAACTACGAGTGACTTCAGCCCCATTTTTGAGACCATCCCCACCCCCATGTCAAGCTGCCAAGATTTTGTGGCAAATGTTCGGTTTTTAGTGGCATGGTTTTTTTGCTTTACGCAAACCAAAAAAGCTCCCCAAAGCATTAAGCCTCCAGTAACCTTCACGCAACTATTCTGAGTAGTCACTCAGGAAAGGGCTACAGGTTTCAACCCTACCCATTCAGGTGATATTCCTGTATTAATGACTTGCCCCTTATATGCCTCAGAAGCCATTTTTTTAAAAGGTGAGGGGGTTTCAGTTCATAAGAAAATGATCCGTTGCTATTCTGAAGCAATACTAGATTTTTGATCCAGGCGTGGTCTTTGCAGAGGAATGCTAGGAAGATGAAGAAAGAAACTTTACTATGTACAGGAAAGCAGGATATTAGGTGGATTTGGGGGCAACAATTTGATAAGCGCAAACATGCAAGTTATATCAGGGGAATTGGGGGGTAATGCTTCCTTGATACCATAAAGAATATTAAAAGTATATGATCTGGGCCATAGGCATGAAAGTCTAAATTAGCCATTTGACAAAAGTTCTTGTGTTTTGGAGACATAATTTCCATAGTTGCCTTTTTGTTTCATCACAATGTATTTGGCAGACTAAAATCTGAAATACATTTTTTAAGCGTATGGAAGGTAGAACATGATTCCTGGAGAAATAGCAATAGCAATAGTACTTAGATTTATATACCTCTTCACAGTGCTTTGCAGCCTTCTCTTACTTAAAAGTACTTTTACAGTTAGCATATTGCCCCCAACTATCTGGGTCCTCATTTTGCCCACCTCGGAAGGATGGAAGGCTGAGTCAACCTTGAGCCTGGTGGGATTCGAACTGCCTAATTGCTGGCAGCCGGCAGTCAGCAGAAGTGGCCTGCGGTACTGCATTCTATCCACTGTGCCACCACGGCTCAGCATCTTTTAATTTGTAGCCCTGCTTAGAAGTAGGTGAGCTATGACTGCTTGACATTTCAGGATCCATTAAAGGGAAGATTTCTATTGGCTGTTCTTAGTTTCTCATTCCATAATGGGCAAAAGAAAAAAAATTCCCATTATAAAACAAGCAGAACTCTTCAGTTTACTTAAAGGTTCCAATCCTAAGAGACAGAACCGTAAATAAGTTGAGCAAATGAAAAATCCTAAATCAAATGCTTTCCTCTTCCTTGTGTTTGCCTCTTGAAGGTGGATGCCCAGCTGCAAGTTGTGCGAAAGCTGGAGGAGAAAGAGCATCTGCTTCAAAGCAACATTGGCACTGGAGAAAAGGAGCTGGGCCTGCGTACCCAGGCCCTGGAGATGAACAAGCGGAAAGTAAGTAGATATGTACAGGTAGATCCTTAATTTACAACAGTTCCCTTAGTGATCGTTCAAAATTACAGTGGCACTGAAAAAGTGACTTATGACTATTTTTCACACTTATGACTGTTGCAGCATCCCCATGGTCATGTAATTTACATTCAGATGCTTGACAACTGACTCACATTCATGATGGTTGCATGTAATCACCATTTGCAACCTCCTGTCACGCAAAGTCAATGGGGAAACCAGGTTCACTTAACAACAGTGTTACTAATGTAATAACTGCAGTGATTCATTTAATAAATGGGGCAAGGGAAGTCATAAAATGGGGCAAAACCTACTTAATTTCTCACTGAGCAACATAAATTTTGGTGTATAAAGTAAGCTCATGTAGCTTTCAGGTTTAACTTACACTGCAGGGTTGTTTGAAAGAATATAAAATGAGAGCTAGGGAAGAAGACTCACTTGAAGAAAAAGCAGACCTTTGCATGGGAAAGGTTTCTTGTTTTTGCATTTGTGAAGGAGACTTAAAAAAATAAAAGTAACGAGAGTCAAACTAACTTGTATAATAAAAGCAGGAATAGATCCACAAATGTAGGCATGTATAATAAATGCATAATAGGTATACATTTATACCTATTATGCATTTTATGTATAATAAAAACAGGAATAGATCAGGGGTGGGATTCTACCAGTTCGCATCTATTAGCTAGAACCAGTTGTTAACATTCTAAGCAGTTCGGAGAACCGGTTGTTTGAAGAAATTACTGGCCTAATCCTGGAAGGAAGGCAGGAAGGAAGCATTCTGGTGTTGCTTACAGAACCTGCCTCTCCGTTAACCCTTATTACATTCTTGGCAGGACTAGACTTCCTGTCTCTGGAACTTCTCTGGAGTTTTTTCCCCTCCTTTGCTGGTACTTCGCTTGTATGGAGTGACTATTGAAAAAAGTGACTTATGACCGTATTTCACACTTACAACTTTTGCAGCATCCCCACAGTCACGAGAGGCCAGGCGAGGAGATGCGTGCCTCGATGTGAGTGATGTTGTGTTGGCCATGCCCAGCCAGTAACATGATCACCAAGCCATGTCCACCCAGTCACATGACCACCAAGCCACACCCACCAACTAAGCCATGCCCGCAGAACCAGTTGTTAACAGTTTTGAATCCCACCCCTGGAATAGATCCACAAATAATAATATGAGCAGTGGCACCATGATAAATACTACCCAGGCTTCCTCTTCCTTATGCTTAACCAGTTCTCCAAGGAAAGGATATTCCTAGGTGTAACCTGACCAAAATCTAGTTGGAACTCCGTCCTGAACTGGCTTCTGTCAATCAGCCTTATGCTAAATAAGAATCACCTGGAAGATATTTAATCCAGCCATCTATAGAAATGAGCAGTCACTTTGAATTTTCCACCTAGAAATTGCCCCATCCCCTTAGAAACCCTTCAGTTGAGTGAAGGGTGCTTTGGCCCTTCAGAGATTGGTGTAAGATAAAGACCCTGCAATTCCAGGGCAGTGGAAACTGGAAAAAAATTCTGTTCTTCACAGCTATAAACCCCGAACTTGGATTCTCAAATATCCAATCTGAAGGCTTTTAAGATTAATTTTGTGTATAGTAAGCAAATCGGATAGTCCTCACTTAGCAACCCTAATTGGGATTGGAATTCTGTTATTAAGCATAGTGGTTGTTAGGTGAAGCAGCACATAATGGCATCACTTGGCAACAGCAGTTTTAGTAGTTCTGATTTGTCATTAGGCAAGGACTGCTCCATCGTTAGAGAAGGACTTCACACTTCTGCCCTGCACAAACTGCCAGCTCCATCCTGCTGCCTCTTTTCCAGCTAAGCCCAGCCAGTTGCCTTTGGGCAGAAGCTCCACTGCCCTGCCGGGCTCACCTCCATTTCAACTTCCCCTATCACAACTTGTGCGCTTCAATTACCTGGCACCTGTCCTCCCCCCCTCCCCCCCGCCAATCTCTGTCATTTTGGCCACCATGTACTCCGCTGCTGCCATCTAAACGATCACCCCAGCCAACCTCGTTATCTTCTTCCTCCTGCTGCTGTCAAAGTGCGCCTAGCGTCAACAAAGGGCCCGGCAGATGTTGGTGGAACGCATGGAGGCAGGGGCATCGGGAGTTGTGGGTTGCAGGATGGCAAAAGGACAGACCTGGTTGAGATGGAGAAGTACGCAGATGGGAATTAAAGTGCATGCTGAGGTTGCAACTGTGGGTGGACAGTCGAGTGTTTGTTGATCATGTGACTGGGTGGGGTGTGTGTGCTACGATGACTATAATTTAAAGAGCTGGTTATTACTATCATTTGTTCAGCACTGTTACAACTTTGAATGGTCATTCAGCATTGATCCTCAAGCTAAGACTACGTATATATCTATTTATGAAATATGAACCAAGAGGGTGAGTGGAGTGGATTGACAGCTGCAAACATTTCTATTTTACAAACAAACAGGTTCCCCTAGAAGACAGAAGGGTTTTTTTATTGAAAGCCTGAGAGACTTAGGTTGGCCTCCAAAATAAAAAACAGCTATCCATTCCAATTGTTTGAATCCTTGGAAATGTATCTCTCCATAGGGAGAGATAGGCTAACTAGATCAGACAAATCTCTTCCCTCCTAAGGAAATGCTGAGAAATCACAAATGATTCCTTAATTAGGAGAAAAAGCAATGCTACAAAGTGATTTCATGGAGAAAAAGAAGTGTTGGGGGAAAAATTGAACTTTAAAAAAGATCAATAGAGTCTGATGTAAATAATTAGAAGGTTTAAAGGTTTCCAGAAAAAAAGGTTGTGAGGATAAATGAAAAGCAGAATCTGCTGAGGTGGAGTTGAATATCATGAGAAGAAGAAAGTTGAAAATAATGTTTTGAGAGTTTGCTATTTTGGTTACTGCATTAGCATTGGTTGTTAATACACATGCACAAAATAATATGACGCCAATTTATAATTTTGTGTCAACCAAAGTTCTGTGTCTTCAATTCTTAGATGAAAATGAACTGCAGGGCCCATTGACCAGACATTTAGGGCTGCCCTAATCTATAGATCAGCAATTAGTCAAGGATTCGAATGAACCTTAGCCCAAGAATTCTGGATCTTTTCTCTCTTGCCATTTCTGGACAACAATTAACACTTCTGACAAAAATAGCAATTGCTGAGACAAAAGTGCTGAATAGTCCTATTTAATTGGTGCAGGTTTTTTTTTGAGAAGTAACCCGTTTTCCGAAATTACTTTAAATTTTCTTTTCTCCTGGCCTTCAGTCGAAATCCTCCAGCACTGAATTTTCAAAAGCAGGGGAGTGTGGAATCTCTAAGGCCTGCAGAGAACCTCAGAAGATAGGAATGATGTTGGGTCTATAGATCCCTGGGGATGGGGGGATTTTCTCTGCCAGGGTTTCATTTCTGTATGGTATCTCAGGAGAATTTATTTCCTCACTCTACCCCCTCTCCTTAATTAGAGTGTCAAGGCAGCCTGTAAAAAGCTAAAAATCAGTTTCAGGTTTAAAAAATTAATAATAAAACACCACAGTATAAAAAGAATTTTTCAGAAGGAAGAAGCAGAAGTAATCGTAATAATTAAAGGAGGAACAAAGCATTGTGCAGTGTTTTAAAAGCCTAGGAAACTGGGCAAAGCCATTTGCACTGAGATGAAAATAAGGTAGGTGGCAGGTTGTCTTCTTGGCTAGAGATTTCCATAAAGATTGCCTGACTGGCTTTTGGTATAGGATAAGGAGATGGGACTTAGAATGCATTTGTATATACAGTATTTTGGACTGATTCTTCTCCCCCATCATTCTCCCCAATTCCTCTCTCCCTTTCCTAACCTTCCATTTAATCCCATTCTATCCTGCCTTGTGGAGTGCTGCTATTATCCCTTGTGTAAATTTCAATAAGTGGAATAGGGAAATATTACGGTTTTGTTTTTTAGGCTATGGATGCTGCTCAGCTAGCTGATGACCTTCGGGCCCAATTGGAGCTGGCGCAGAAGAAATTGCATGACTTCCAGGATGAGATTGTAGAAAATAGTGTAACAAAGGAAAAAGACATGTTCAACTTCAAACGAGCCCAGGTAACCGGCATGCAGTCCTTTGCTTGGCTAGCTACCTCTCACAATTTGCCTTTATTTCCAGTTTCATTAATTCAGATTATATGGCTGCCTCTTGTTTTCTGACGGCATTTTGGCTCCTCTAGTTTGATAGCTTGGTCACCATTATATGGCTCACTTTCAGTTGCTTCCACTGTTGCTTTTGTTAGTTGTCCATGCTGGCGCTGAACACCTAAAACTGGAGCTCCTGCAATTCACCTATCAATTTTAATTCAGTTTTTGACTTCTAAAAGAGTTCTACAAGGCTCTAACAATAATGGAAGAGCTACAGCTTTCTCATTTTCATAATAGCTTAACATAGATCCATAAATTTTTGTAATTCATGTGAAACTCTGTGCGGCGGTAAAAACCAAAATGTAGGTGTTTATGAACCTTTTACCAGATTTATTTCCGTTATAAAGGGAACCTGGCATTCTTCTTTGCCACCTGAAAGGCAAGAAGATAACAGGCCGACCCAACTAACATTTTTTCCTGTAGGAGGATATTTCACGGCTACGAAGAAAACTGGAGACAACTAAAAAGCCAGACATGATTCCCAACTGTGATGAAATCCTCATGGAGGAGATAAAAGACTACAAGGTAGACCATTTGAGGTCTATTGACACTCGGGTTCAGTGGGTGTGTGCATATCTTTGTAAGTTTGGAGAAAGATAAAAATGGCCAGTAGTGTGGAGTTAGGGGTGGCTCATTTGGGAGATCTATTGTGTAAGTAGAATTTACAACATTTCCTTCTGTGGTAAGAAATGTTCATTCTTCCAGGTGAAGAATGAACATTTTCTCCCCCGTAGACCAAAAGGGGAGGACTTGTCTGTTGACACCTGCTCTTAAACTCTGCCCCATCTTCCCCAAAGGCTCGCCTGACCTGCCCTTGCTGCAACATGCGGAAGAAGGATGCTGTGCTCACCAAATGCTTTCACGTCTTCTGTTTTGAATGTGTGAAGACTCGCTATGACACTCGGCAGCGCAAATGTCCCAAGTGCAATGCTGCATTTGGAGCCAATGACTTCCATCGGATCTACATTGGTTGATGTGTCCACATATGTATGGCCAGAGGATCTCCGCCATCCACTCCCATACCTGCCATTGTTCAGCAGGCTGGATACTGCTTATTGCCAGCTAGGTTTCCCCCTATTCTGACTTCTTTGTAAAGGAACATCTTGGTTTATTCTTTTTGTGTATGTGTTCTTTTTGTTTTTCTCTTCATTTTTTTTTTAAAGTACTGCCAATTCCAAAGCCAGTTCTTTCTCTTATTAAATACACTTTCTGTGGGGCCCAGATTGTCAATTGGTCCCTGAATCATCAGTGTTGTCATCATTTGGCGTAGAACTAAAACCAGGCAGCAACATTTAAACTGGGAAATCCACTTGGGATAGCTCAGTTAGCTTTCTCATGATTTTTAAGCTAATTGTTTCTCTGTTTTGGATAAAAGAGGAAACTCTTCTTTCTAATCATCACATTTCCCAGTTTAATGTCTGCTTGTGCGTCTGGAATGCTGTAGTCTACAGAAGGCATTCCTACTTCTGAAGAAAAAAGACAGTGATGCAGCCATCCTATTTCAGACTGAACCTTTAACTCCTGTTTTCTGAAAATGGCCAACAAAGTATATCTTGGATCTGGAGGCATTGAGAAAATGGGACCTTCACTATATTTCATCTCTTCATCATATGTAATCTGTTCTGATAATGCAGAAACACATACTTGGTCTCATCCATAATTTTGGATCCGATTACATCATGATGCTGCTGCGAGATAAGGGCACTTTTTTGACACATTGCCTGGATAATTTTTAATATTAGGGCAAGCACAAATGGTACCTGTTGGCAGAATTTGGCCAATGCTTTCTTTGCAATCTGTTGCATAAATGGGAACTGGATCACACTCAAATGCATGAGCCTGATTCGCTTTGAACATTTTCTGTGCAGTGAAGGAAGCAATTCTGGACCAGAACTAGGTTTTGGAGACCACTGTTTCAGGGAAGACTTTTGGTTGACCAGAATATTGTCAAACAGTGGCCCAGGCTTTTATTGGATGCTACTGTCTATTCTTTTGCTATGAAAATAAGATTTTCATAGGCATTTTTCAAAGGGCATTGTCTTCAATAAATTGCCATGTTTCTCTCTTGTTTTTGCTTTGTGGGATTGTTCTCCCCCTCCCTCATTCTTGCGAACAGACTTGTCTGTAAATTGATCTTAGATATGGACAGTTTGGGATTTTGATGTTTGTGTATCCATGTACATACTATAGCTAAAGAGCTATTATGTAAGATCTAACTAAAGGATGAGAGCCCAGTATGTTTTCGCACTTTTTGAATGGAATGGTGGGAAATAGGAATGTCTGGCTTTGGGAGGCAACCGATTCCCGTTCTAGAGTACGCCAGGATATGTCAGAATATCTATCCATTTGGTTTAGTCATTGAGAGAAGGCCTTCTGAAAATACCCTCCCCTTGTGAGATCCAACAAGGCAGGAATGAGACAGCAGAACGTCTTTGGTATAGTCCTCACTTTGTGGAATACTCTTTGCCCCCTCCCTCCAAAAGTACAGGCCCCACTTGCTGCAGTCCTGGAAACAGATTTAAACTGTTTTCATTTGAACATAGTTTTGATTCCCACTGATTAAAATTGTGGGGACATTTCTTGGGTTTTCTTTGGGGCTTATATTTGCCCTTTGTAATATTGGGAGAGCGTTTCAGTTATTCCAGTTGACTAATTTATTATGATGTTCTTGGCTTTCTTCTCACTGACATGATATACTCACAACATCCCGTGGGATTGGGATGAGTTAATAAGTTCAGTGAAATGCATAAACAACTACATTCCCTCCCTTAATCTCCTACCAATAAAACTCCCTAGGCTTTCAATGATGCTTTGGGGCCTTTACCCAAGAATGCTAAAGGTGGGGATGGGAGTGATTTGACTCCCACTCCAGTTCCTTTTGGTAACACTCTCTCCACCAAATTTAGGCAAAAAAAACATGGTGATTTCAGGTTGAGGATGTACTTATACGCAATATATAATAAGAGAATAGCTATTGAAACATGGTATTTTGCCATTGAATTTCAACAAGACTGTCTTAAGAGTGCTAGGGTATACATACAAGCTGCAAGATGCCCACTCAATAGAGCAGTGGTAGTCAAGCTGGTCCCTACCCCCAACTAGTGGGCGTTCCAGCTTTCATGGTGGGCGGTAGGGGTTTTGTCTCCTACTTTATAAATCACCATTACTGTGGAACCAGTGGGCGGTTAGAGAAAATTTTACTACTAACAAAGATACAAAAGTGGGCGGTAGGTATAAAAAGGTTGACTACCCCTGCAATAGAGAATCGTCTCTGAATAAATGTTTTTACTTCTGACGATATTGAAGGGTTTTTATTTTCTGGGTATGAAGTACTTGAGGTGATACTGTCCAAGGTGAACCAGTAATTGATTTAATGTATAGTAATCTCATATCCCTAAAACAAGATGGATTGATGACATCAGCAAGTATTACAGGCCCAATTGGCAAAAGAGCTCAGGACCATATTGGGTGGAAACATGCAGAAGAGGCCTTCAACTTGCAGTGGATAGACAATGTCTAAAATAATGATGATGAATCTAATATGTTCTGCTGGAGCAGCTTGGTGGCCTAGAGGTAGAGCTCTCGCCTCACAATCAGGAGGCTATGAGTTCAATTCTAGGTAATGGCAGATGTTTCTGTCTCTGGGAGCAATGAGTAATTGTCTGCTGTGAACTCCACTTAGGTGTCAGGAAGGGCATCTGGCCAATAAACACTCAGTTCCATTCAGTTGTCCCAACTCTACCCTGATTGCATGGGATTACAGGGTCATTTAAAAAAAAAAACACCTCATACTCTGCTGAATCATATCACATAGAAGGCTGATTCTGTGATGAAATCCATTTTATCCATCGATTAACTGGAAAAATGAAGATGGGGAAGGAAAAAGAACAGTTATATTGTAAAGAGAAGAATAAAAATGAATGAAGATAACCAAAAAGCCCTGGTTAGGCATCAGTTACTTTGAAGGCTAAAAGTTAACTAGGCAAGCAGCCATCCCAATTATGGTTAGTTTTTAAGAATCAAGATTTTGCAACAGGAATGTCAGTCTTCCACTTATTTGTTTTTATCAGTTTCTATCTGAATGAGAGTTGGTTCTCTCCATCCCCCACATTTACAGATAATTCATGGAAAACAGCCTTCGTATTGGGCAAATAAAACATAACTCGTCTCCAAAGAGTGAATCTGCATTTTTGTCATCCAACCAGCTTGTCAGCTAGATCCAAACTGTAAAACAAATCAACAAGCCTGAACAATTAGTATTAAAATTTATTTAAAACTAAAATAAAACAAAAAAACAGCACATTCCCCAACCAGAATTTTCATTCAGAAAAGGTGATGGCCGGGGCAACTTACAGAAGTCAAGGAAAGACTTCACTCGTTGACACCAAAGGTATAAGATATATTGTAGTGCTGGCTTTCTCTTAGATATTTGAAGATGCCAATAAACTACTTAATTGGATAAAATTACTTGGTGACCTAGTGAGTAGAGAGACATTAGTCAGGCATTAGGCATCTAGACATTAACATCAGCACATTTTGTTGGTAGATTACTGTACTGCATTTGCTACACAAAAACTTGGCAGTTTTTAGGAGCAAATCCCCATTATGTTCATAATCTCACATAGGAATTATCTTGGACGGAAAAGCTAAACCTATGTGACATGTCTATAGGTCATGTTTTCTCAATCTTTGATTGGCAGAAGAACTTGAAAGTGAACTGGTCAAATTATACAAGGCCCTAGTATGTACATTACTTTGATTTGTCTCTTCTGTTGCTACTCGTGTGCCAATCCCCATAATGTAGTACGTACTCTGGATCTCTGATTAGGTTGGATTTCATAGTTATATGCCTTGTCGGCAGTGCCCTCTGTACAGGGTGAGCATCATCGGCTCGATATATAACTATGTATGAGGCCCCACTGTTGAGAGAAAAGAGAAGCATAGTGCTTGAAATAATATGAAATCATCTTTGAGACCAGGATTATGTCATTTAGAGTAGCACGTAAATGGGACCATACTGACAATGATGTTGTGTGTGTACATGTATGTGTAGGCAGGGTGGTATAGGGGAATGGGAGACAGAATGATAATGCCGATTGGTTGTACACCACATATAGTTGCACCCACTGCTTGTATAGCACCCGCATCAAGTATACACATTTAACAACTGGAGAGCAAGCCATCATCACTGGCAACTTACACAACACACTTCACTGAATGAAGGATACCACCGAGCTTCAAAAAAACCATTTAGTCACTAGAGTTAGATTTGGATTAATGAGGGACCAGAGTTTCCCTCGCCTCCAGCCTAAAATGATAGCTCCTCAGAACATGACATGGAATATTTATATCTATAAATAAGACTCTGGTAATAGAAAAACACTTTAAAGAATATTTTAACTGATAATTTTAAAATTTCTCCTTTGACATTTAAAAAATACGCTCAGGCCATCTATCTTGTCAAAGGCAGCAAGAGGATTATTTTGTGGAAGCAAAAACTTGGAAAATGGTCTAGTCTGAAAAAAAGTGGCAAAACAGTAGAACTTTGTCCGAAGAATATATAAGTAGTCCTTGCTTAGTGACCAAAATTGAAATGAGCAACTCTGTCACAGTTGGTGTAAAGAATAAGAAAGAAAAAGTGTGAAATGCAAAATGCCTTTCTTTTTCATACTTTCTTTCCCTTTTCACACTTTCCCACTGTTTATTTTATTTTGCTATTTGAATGTTTCATGGTTAGCATTTGCTTTTATACTTTTTCATTCTTAATAAGATTATTTGCAAAGCTGGGGTTATTAGGCAGTCAATCACATGTTTGGGACAGATATACGACTGCACATTTGTTTCAGTCATTAAGTGAAACATCATGTGACTGTGACTTATTATTTTACCACGTTCTCTATTCACTCTGCATGTCGCAAGCTGGTTGTGAAGCACAGAAGTGGCAATTATGTGACTAAGGGATGCTGCAACAGTTGTAAATGTTAGTAGACAGGAAAGCATTTTGAATGCTTTGCCAAGTACAAAATTTTCTATAAGCACTCAACACATTGAAGCAAAATGTTTTACAATTCAAAACTTGCTTATTTGCTTGTTTTAAGTGAACTGCTCAAAAAATATAGTCCTACTCTGTATGGAACTTTAAATGAAAGAATCTTAAAATACTACCTTTAAACAAAATTAAGAGTGTGTATCTACAACATCTGCCAAGGGTGTCTGTAAAATTATTTTATGTAGTAGAGAAAGTTGGGTGGACTTTACTCTGGCAATTCTGAGAATGGAAATAGCAAGGAATATAAGATGATAGCTGTTAGTGAGAAGCAATCTGCACATATTACAAAAAAATAAATAAATAGTATGGTCAGAGTGCTGGGCTCTACCAGTAAACTTGGAGACAGGAAGCCATATTTTGAGTACATCCCCATATAAAAAATACCTGGTATGTGGTTACATAATACTTTGGAGCAACAAAAGTTTGAACCAAAACCAGTCTCCTTTTTTTTTTTATGTCGACATTCAGAACACATTTTTCCTTGTTTATCTTCTTCAGAAGGGACAGAATTCTATATGTTCCTACCACAATCCCCAATTTTTGAAAGTTATCCTAGGTCTTCCCTCCAAGCGCGGTATCATTTTTTGATAATGGATAGTTAAGAATGGGGTATAATTAAAGCCTCTTACTAATGTGTTTAATCTTTGCATCTGATTTTTTTGGTAGGGAATATCTGTACTCCTCTTGTGCCAATTGCAGAGAAGGCCAGCACCTACAGGACCCCTGGAGCCCACAGTCTGAGACATAATTATATAGGTTTAAAAACTTTGAACAGCAAAATCCATGCAGAGAACAATTCTGAATCATCTTTGAAAGGCTCTTGCTCTTTTGTTTTAATTAATGCAGAGAAAAAGAAGGGGAAAAAAATCCTAAAAAGTGGAAAAATTCATTTAATTCTAGTGAGAAAGAAAATAGGTGCTGTGTGGAATGGAGGCTTCAAATTCCTGTCGCCTGAGATCAACCCTTTCTACTAGGCTAAAACTTCCCACAGAGAAGGACCTGTTGGTACTTTGAAGGATTCCGGTAACCAGAATGCGGCCATCTTTTGGTAGTGTCGCTTTTGCAGGAAGGCAGGAGTTACTGTCGACCTATTGCTTGCCAACGGTGGCGCCACTTCTTAGCATTACACAAAAACAAAGCCCAAAGGTGAGGGTGTAATACAAATTATTACAGTCCGAGATGGAACGAGGATGAACCCTCTCAAAGCTCCAGAGTTCTATTTGTCCTCTGAAATTCCTCCAGCTCCTGTTTTCTGCTCACCGCTAACTGCAGTTCCTGCTTGATCACTTCGATCTGCTTCTCCAGTTCTGAGAGTTCCTGGATCACTGAGGTCCTAGCAGTGTTCAGAGCATCTGCTTTCCCATTGGTAGTCCCTGGAGAGTCTCTTTTCAAGGAGGGGAAAGCTGTATCATGCCTCAGTTGTTTGAGCATCACTTCAGTTGTTTTTTCAACACTGCAGACGTATTTCCTTCTGTGGCAGTTGCCAGGGCTAGCAGTGTTCCACACTGAAACCTGACTATTCCTGGGACTGGACCTGCAGAGGGATGTTCACACAAGGAATTAGGCACTCATCATATATATGCACTTACATAGTGAGGCGAACTAGGAAAAGGAAACTCTATGATTCCCCACAACTTCTTAGGCCTATCGTTCCAGCTTCCCCTCTAGCTATGTTTCTTGATTCTACTGTAGTTTTGAATTGCTTGGGAGCTTCTCTAATTGGATCCAATCCCATGTCCCAACTTGAGTCCAGCACATTTTCAGGTTGGCCAAACAACAAAACAATCACAAATCTATTGCAGTTTTACTGTATGAATAACCCTCCTGATTGGACAAAAACTCCATCTAGCCCAGTATTTTGCTTTCCAAAATACTCCCCAGAAGCTTCCAAGAAGTCCCCTAACAACTTATGGAGGCTGAGGTCCTGTATTCTTGCTCTTTGTCTTTCTAGTAACTGGTGCAAATGGTTAAATTACAGAGAATCTGGCCTCTTTTTTTAATTTGCAAGGACAGGCAAGAAGAATGATAGAAACAGTCAGATGGAACAAACCTTGAAGGAAACTGGTCTTCTAGAGGTCACTGAGCTATATCTTCATCAGTAGGGTTAGCTGGAAATTGTACACAATCTCTGGAAAACCATCGTTCCCACAACTTGTGTTGTAGTTTTGTGGCTAAACTGGGGTGAGGTAAATTGTGACTTTTTTCCAAGCTCCCTGGAGGTTTGTGTAAAACACACACACACACACACAATGCTCTTGTATCCCTTTTTTATTTAAATAAATACCAAAAAAAAAAAAAAAAAGAAAGCACCCAGTTCTAAGGGGAAAAGCTAAAAAGAGAAATGAAAACATGCAGGATATATATATTTACAGAATGTCTCCCTCAAATGGAAGTGATGATTCATTACAGACTTTCATAGCTAATCTATATTAATCAATTGTGCAAACCACAGAAGCCTTGCGACCATATGTTTGTCTTTCCAGTGCTGAACAATACAGTAAGTCGCTCAGCTATAAATGTATTTCAGTTGTGCAGATTTCAATTCCCACTTGCGAGAAAAACATTTCCAAAGGATCTAAACATCTGAAAATATTAAATCTTAAAAAGTCAAGTCATTGTACGTGGATTCCTTCAGCCCTAAATGGAACAATATATTTAAATAAAGCATTATTTTCACTGCAGTTCTAACAACATGAAGGCCTCAACCACAATATTATTTCTGGTTGAAACAGATGTAGAGTAGAGTGGAGTAGAATACAGTAGAGTAGAATAGAAATAGAATAGAATAGAATAACAGAGTTGGAAGGGACCTTGGAGGTCTTCTAGTCCAACCCCCTGCTTAGGCAGAAAACCCTATACCACTTCAGACAAAATGGTTATCCAATCTCTTCTTAAAAACTTTAAAATGTAACCTTTAAAAAAAAGAAATCTATTGGATGTTTGGCTTTTAAAAAAACCTTTTTTATTGGTTAAGTAAAAGCTGCAAACAAAATTGTTGCAATTTTTAATTTTGTTCACAAAGTCACTTCTTGAGATAGGAGCCACACATAATAAATAAATAAAAAGATAAAGCACAGAAAAAGATGCCTATACATTACTGAAAGGATTTAGAAGAAAAAGAAAAGAAAAAAAGATTTCAAAATTATTATAAGAAAGGCATTCTATTTCTATACCCCTCCCCTTTTCCTCCAAACGTTCAACTGATTGTTAAATATTTTTATACTTTGGACATTTTTGCATCATTTTAATTATTATACACAGTTTCTTTTTCATCATAAACCACATCTTAGCTTGCCTTACTGTGTGATATGTTGCACATAATGAAACCACCTGTGTGAATTTGGTTAGACTTCTGCTGTACATATACAGTATTTAGTCAGTATTTCCATTCTTTCAGTTTTTAGTGTTCAAATCCTATAGTTTTCCTACCCCAATTGTGCGCCAATGTGATTCTTATATCTTATATCCCTTAGGGTCAGACCTAATAAAGATATCCCTTGTTTGAATTCAGATTTCATCTTTGGAATTTCCTGAATTTTAAGAGGGTGTATTTCCTTTTCGACTTCTTCTGATTATTTCCTTTTTATTCTCCCTTCCTGAAATGAATCTCTTTTCCTTCCTAATCTTAGGAGCCGGACCAAGTCTACGAAGGGATCACATTTGATGATTTCCTGAAGGTGACTCAATCTTTTTTTGCATTTTTATCGGCTTAGATAGAAAGAGGAGGCTGGCCTCCTGCCCTTAGGAACGTATCTCTACTCAGCTCTCCCAAGCAAACCCCTTGCAATTTCTTTTCAAAAAATATTCATTTCCAAATTCACAGAAATAATCTTCAGTAATGGTTGTTTCCCCCCCCCCCAACACAAAGTCTCCCAAATAATCAGCGTAGGGGAGAGGTGGTGGATTAGGGTTGGAAGTCCTCTGTTAGCTATCTTGCAAAAACTGCTATACGGGTAGAGTTTCTCTACCTACAAACTTTACAAGGGGTGGGTAGGGTTAAGTGAATTGACGAAAGGAAAGCGGAGAAGATCCTTCCTTAAAGGAGATGGGCACAAGGTTCACAACAGAAGACTTTGGGTGCCTCAAACAGGACCAAGCGGAGATAGGGAAGTCCATGCATAACCTTTGGATTGCAACATTTGCTCCTTTTTTGAAGCACAATTTAAAATGGTTGCAGGATTGGAGATTGTCTTCTCCTCTACTAACTCTGGGTTTCCCCCCCCATCTTTCAATGCCAGATATGGGAAGGCATCGACATAGAGACCAAGATGCATGTTCGCTTCCTCACGCTGGAACCCATGGCGCTCTGCTACTGACGGAGGCGGAGTAGCTGCAACCGGGTGGTGGGAGGCTTTGGAGGTGGGTGGGAGGGCCACGTGTCTGATGGAGCAGCTGCCACGGATCCATAAAGTCCAGACCCATCTGGACCAGCCACATGGATTCCCATCTTGAAGACCAACCTTCTGGCCTCCAGTAAAAGGACCTCAGTTCTGATGCAATTGTTGTAGTGCTGGCTATATGTGTGCAGCTGTGTTTTACTTCTAGCTTCCTGGGCTGAGATCAGCCCCCCAAACACTAACAGGACCCCTTATTCCAAGTCAGAAGGGGGTGCTATCTCTGCCCACGGTAAGTCAGGTTTTGGGGCAAATGGGTATAAATATTATAGGTAGCCCTTGACTTAACGACCACAAGGGAGTCCAATTGTTCGTCAGTGAGGCATTTGGTTACAAGCGAGTTTGGCCCAAGTTACAGCTCTTTCTTAAGTGAATCACTGCAGTTGTTGAGTTAGTAACATGGTTCTTAATAGAACCTGGCTTCCCCATTGACTTTGCTTCTCGGGTCAGAAAACACGATCACGTAATTCCAGGACATTGCAACCGTCATATATGCATATATATCTCATAGAATAACAAGAGTTGGAAGGGACCTTGGAGGTCATCTAGTCCAACCCCCCTGCTCAAGCACGAGAGTCTATTCCAAATATTAGCCTCTACCTAGGATTGAACCCACAGCCTCCTCATTGTGAGGTGAGAGCTCCACCATGTGTGTGTGTGTGTATACACACACACAAACATATATTGGGCCAAACACTTTATGTGGGTGGCGCAGCCTTGTATTCCTGTGCAGCCTGGCTTAATTGCTTGTGGGGGGGACATTTCTCTGTGGACCACCAAAATTTTCTCATGGACCACCAGTGGTCCCTGGCCCACTGGTGGGCACCGGTGGTCCCTGGCTCACTGGTGGTCCCTGCACTCACAAACAAAAAAATCTCCACACCACAAGCCAGGCAAACACCTGGGCACAAACAGATCCCCCCGATACCTCCAGCTCGAACACACCCCAACCAGGCACCCAGATGAAACCTAGCTTCCTAACAAATGATAGCTGTCCATTTACTCGGAGCCAAGCTGCACTAAAAGCCTCCAATACAGGAACACAATGTTGCCAGCCAATCAAGACACACAAAAAAGCCACAAAACAGACAGAAGATATTAGAAACACCAATCAAGCAGAACACAGCAAACTCCAAGACCAATAAACACAGACCAAGACTCCCAACCAATCAGGATGAAGAAAAAACCATTCTGGCACAGCAGTAGGCTAGCCCCAAATTTAAAACTGAAACAACTGTAAAAGTCTGACTCACAGACGAACACAATACAGAAGCCTGATGATGGCAGATGAGATTCTGCCGAAACGTTGCTACAACTTTAAAAGCACAACTATAATGACGTGGGAAAATACCCAAACAAAGTTGGATCCCATATCACCTCAGGCTAACAAGTCCGTCCAGCAGGAAGATAAATAGTTGTCTGTCATGTAAACATCTCAATTACTTTCCAGTGAAGTGTAAGATCTGTACCAAATTGACACTAATTTTTCTCCTTGTAACCTAAGAATGTAATTCTTATCCTGTACTACATTCAATTTTAAGCCGAATGAAACTTTTTTGAGTTGGGCGACCTACTTAACTTTCAAAAGGAGCAAGTTTCGGCAGAATCTCATCTGCCATCATCAGGCTTCTGTATTGTGTTCGGCTGTGAATCAGAAACGGCTGTGGAAGTCTGACTCACAGACGAACACAATGCAGAGCACTGTTTGGTTTTAACACAGATGACCTCTTTGGGCCCCCTTTCAAACCACCTCTGCCCAGAACGTGGGCTTTGCTGTCTTGAGAAGAATGGTCTTCGTCTTTCAGACGCAGATGGGCTGTTGAATCTTGTCCCGGTGGGTTTCTCCTCCCACATTTCACCATGTGAATGTGAAGTTGTTTTGTTTCTCCAATGTACAGATCTGGACATGGCTCACTGCACTGCACTGCATTGACTAAACTGGGGTGAGGTAAATTTTTTGATATCTGGTGTTATCTTTTCCTCTATGTAGGGAATTTTGTCTTTTTATTTTGGATGTTTTAAAAAATGGTGCATCTCTACATGTATAGTATTGGGGAAAATAGCTTCAGTAGTGATTGAAGAAGGTATAATGGTTGTGTATCTCAGGGACAGCAATTTTGTTTCAGCATTCTTCATTCCTGTCTTTCACACAATTACCTAAAAGCATCGATCAGAGTTATTGAAGAGCAGAAAGTCATTCTTTACACTGTTTAACTGCAATGATTTGCTATTTCTGTATCTGTGGTTTGGCAACTTGACCGCAGGTAGATTGAATAGGTATCCATCATAGAAATACAACATGGTAGACTTGTTTACATGCTAGTGCTCAATTCTTCTTTCTCCAGGGTTCCTGGTCCTAACATTTCAAATTGAATATTTATTTTTTATCAAAAACCATTTGGAAAGTCATATTCACCCAGGGATTTAATTCTGTCAGATTTCTAAAAATTGCTTTATAGCAATAGCAATAGCACTTAGACTTATATACCACTTTATAGTGCTTTATAGCCCTCTCTAAGCGGTTTACAGAATCAGCATATTGCCCCCAACAATTTGGCTCCTCATTTTACCCACCTCGGAAGGATGGAAGGCTGAGTCAACCTTGAGCCTGGTGGGATTCGATCTGCCAAATTGCAGTAGGAGTAGCTTGCAGTACTGCACTCTAACTACTGCGCCACCGAGGCTCTGTTTTATGACCAGACTAGGTTTATTACAAGGGACATGAGAAAAACCAACAAAAAAGGATGTCCGGAAAAATACAGGCAGGCATGGGTCTTATTATTTGTGTCACAAAAAAATATCAGGAAGCGAAAAGCACATCTGTCAAAGATGATGCAGTGTTGCAAAGTTAGCTTGTGCATTGGCTTCAGAGAGAAATTTCATAATGGAGTAAGCAACACAATGGCACCATGCTAGATAAGAATGTCAGATTAATTGTAAACTGGCTTTGAAGAGGCAAAGTCTAGTGGTGAAGGCAGCGGGCTAGAAACGGGGAATGGGACTTCTAGTACTGCCTTAAGTAGGAAAGGATCTTTGGGCCAGTCACTCTCTCTCAGCCCAATCCACCTCACAGGATTGTTGTGGAGAAAATAAGAGAAAGGGGTATGTTTGCCACCATGAACTATTTATAAAAATAATAAAGATGGGACATCACATCACAACTTAACAATGTAACATAACCCCTGTTTATACAGTACTAAGAAAAAGTTCAAAACGGAAATGCAATTATCAGACAGAGAATGGTGTCTATCTGTCATGAACATCCTACATATTATTCCTAAAAAAACCTATGGTTTCAAAGAGTTGGTGCCTGAATACAATGTGTTAGACCAGTTTTTTCTCAGTCTTGGCAACTTTAAGATATATAGATTTCAACCCACAGAATTCCCCAGCCAGCCATGTGGGTTAAAGAACTCTGGGAGTTGAAGTCCACATATCTTAAAAATGCCAAGATTGGAAAACATTGTGTTAGACCATAGTAAATCAGTTAATGGGAGAAGAAATATTAATTCAGGGAAAGGATATATAGTTAAAGTCATTTTTTCAGTATAGCTGAAGTGGATCTTTCTGATATATGACTCTCTTGACCCCAAACAGATAAAATTGTTTACTTTCCTACACCGCCTTATACAATACAGGTGAAGTGGATCTGTCTGATATGTGATTCTCTTGACTCCCAAATAAATACAACTTTCCACTTTTCTATAATGTGTGACTACATTATACAGTTCTTGTCCTTTAAACCAAACCAAAACAATGCCTGGGGGAATCTTTATCTATAGATGCATCAGCAAACAAGAGATTAAAAACTTATTTTTCTTACTTCTTTTCAACTGGCTTTGTTTTAAGCTGGTGCTTGTCTTCCATAAATGAGTTGTTTAGAGCACGGTGCAGTCGCTAGAGGAAAAACCCAAAATAAATTAATCAGAAGGGAAATTGTCCTTGCATTTTAGGTAGATTGAATATGAAACAGGGACTCTGTAGGGAATGCAGTATGGAAATAAAACTGTTTGCCTAATTTATCATTGTTACTGAATGTTGTATCTTTGTGACAAGTCCAAAGTTTCAGCTCCTCATATTTGCTAATACTGCACTTTAGTGAAGGACTACAGATTAGATGGTTGCATGCATATTCAATCCAGATGTTTCCTAGGATTAGAGATTCAGCCATACAGCCAGAAGTGTTGCCAGGCAAGGTAACTACCTGGAGGTGAAATGGGCCAATAGGCTGATTAATATACCAACCCTGGGTTTTAAATCAGAAATGGAAAAGGTATGACCATCACGATGTTAACTATACAGTGCCTACACACAAAATAGAAACTTGGGGGAAAGGCTGTAGGGTTGCAGTCCAGATGATCTTGGGACTGAATGGAATAAGAATGGCCTTTCATGGCTGATACAGAGAAGCTTTAAAGAATAATCAGATTGCAAGTGCAAGTATGTCTTTCTCAATATCATAGAGACTACAGGAAAGAAAGGAGTCAACCCAGAAGAACATTCTGATGGCAGAAATTTATGTCATTCTTCTTCTTTTATTTAATAATTGTTAAAATGTGCACAGAAAACAAAATGGTGGACAGCTAAAAAAGGATAAAGCAAGGAGGGATCCAAGGAGGGATGGTTTGGTTTTTGTGTTTCTTGAGTAGCAATGAGTTAGGCACTAAAAGCTCACCAGCAATATTTCATCATTACTGAAAGCTTAGATTAGGGGTGTCAAACTCGATTTCATTGAGGGCTGAATCGGGGTTGTGTTTGAACACGGGGTGGTGATGGGAATGGCCAGGGTGGGCATGGCCAGCTCAACGTTATTCGTGTCAGGGGTTCCTGTGGTGGCCCGAGCACTCTGCCAGTGAAAACGGCCTCTTGCAACCCTCGGTCAGTGAAAAGGGAGTTCTGTTTTCATTGGCAGAGGGTTGCAGGAGGCTGTGCCAGCCAAAAACAGAGCTCAGGAGCTTGTTTTCCCTGGCAGAAGCATGTGCCCCCAACATGAGTAACATTGAGCTGGCCCTCGCTGTTTCCAGGGTGGCCCCGTGGGCCCCATCTAAGTACATCGCAGGCCGGGTCCCCCCCCCCCCCCCCCCCAGGCCTTTAGTTTGACACTCCTGGCTTAGATTTTGGATTGAGGTACCACATGTAGGTAGAGGTTAAGAAAAGTTCAATGGACAACTCTGCAGGACAAACCAACCCACAAGACTGATGTGATGTCTCTATGTTGTGTCTGTAGCTCATGCTGTGCATGGAGCAGGATATTTACCATAGAGATGTTGATCTTAATGGTAAACATAGGTTATAGGGCATTTTATAAGCTGGAAAATGTTAATTTGAACTTCTGTGCTGAATGCATAAATTTATGATAATGTTCACGAATTAGCGCCTTTTCCATTTTAACACATATTATTTATAATATGAAAACAGATAAAAGTTTTTTACCTTCTGCTCATGTTGGAGAAATAAAATTATGTTACTGTAGTAAAATGGGTGTAATACAGTTGGCATGCAGCTTTTGAGCCATTGTGGTTGAAATCCAGAAAATATTGTGATATCTGTCATTGCTAGATAGTGCAAGTAATCAGAAGAATTAATAGGAAAATCAAACTAAAAATATATGATTTTTCTGCATTAGTATGTGCAACTCAGTTAAGAATCAAGGAGCTCCAAATTTCTTGAGAAAGTTCCTTTGTCTGAAAATTGTATGATATCTGAGTCACTTTTCCTAGAACTATATTATATATTTTTCTCAACAAACAAAAGTAGGATAGTTTTTAACTAGTATTATTATTTTTGTTTTTTCCAGAGTCAGTTGGAAAGATGCATTAAAAAAAATAGAAAGAAAGAAATAGAAAGAATATTATTATCCCAGATTTTGCTTCTTAATCATGGTTGGGATGTGATAACATCTCAAGAAGAGGCCTGGAAATGCCATCTATTGAATCCAATCATTCAACAGGACTTCAGTTCCAGCCAATGATCATTCCCTTTGAGAGACTTACTTAGGCATATGTACCTGACTTGTATGGAGCCAATATGTCATCTTGGATTTCTTTTTGATTCGTGGTATCATCAGCCTGTATATGATATGTTCTCCAATGGTAGTGAGAATAGACAGACCAAATCCAACACACAGCATCACAAATAGCCCGGAAAAATGCTTGATGCCCATTTGAAGGGTCTGTTGCGGGGAAAAAAAAAAAGGAAATCCATGTACAAATTTATAAAATGGGAACACATATGCAGCAAAATCAACAATTATTTTTATACAACCCTTCCACTCAATTTTCTTCCCATTTGATGCCATAAAATGAACATTTGCAGTATTGCCATGACACAAGAGTGTTTTAGTTGCATGAGACATGGAATTACAGTTGGCTCTACCAAGTTACTGGGACCCAACCTATTGGCGGGGTTCAATCCTAAAGTTGCATACTCAGTGATAAGACTTAGCTGCCTTTGGACTGACTTAGAAGTGAGAGATGGCTGTAAACTGCTTGCAATTTTAAGTACAGGTACTCTTTGATTTACGACCGGTTCAAAGTTCTGATGTGTCTGCCTTGGGGACATTTATGACCCAGATTTAAAATTCTGACAGTTGAATTTTCCCATAGTCACAGGACCATAGGTTGGTTGTTTGACAATCACATGTATGGTCATTTGTATCCCATGGTCACTTGACCACATTTTATAATGGTTTTGCACAAAGCCAGCCCATAGCAAACCATTGGTTCACTTAATGACTGTAGAATTTACTTAATGACCAAGGTGATTCACTTAATAACCTGCTGTAAAATAGGTTGCATAATTGGGTCAGCTATGTGACCAACCCTTTTTACAACTGTCACAAGTTACAATTGTGATGGATGAGTTCCATTACAGTTGTAACTCAAGGACTCCCTGCAACTCAAAAGTCCCTGAAGCATCACTACTCTGAACATCTTACTCTGGGGAGAAAGTTAACCCACCAGCAGAAGTTAACGGTTTCAAGATGAGTGCTGATATCAAAGAGCTCATCAGTGCTAGCTAGTAAGGAATGGTAAGGATTCCTTACTAGCACTGATGATGTTACTGTACCTAGTTTGGGCAGTGAAAGGTCTGCAACAAAACAAGTAAGCTTAGAGAGCATCATGGACGCCTAATTTGAACCCTGAACTTCAAATATTCTCCTTTGTCCTTTATTGACATGTCCTGAGATAGCTTGAGACCTTTTGGGTGAGTTCAGCAATCTCTCACTCAGTTGTGCTTGTAAAATTTCTTTTTTCCAAGATGGCTGAGATTTGTAATGGAGGGTAAATGCTTTACGTTGCCCTTGATTTGAGTCCCAATGCCAAACTTGATCCATCGATTCTTTTACATAAGCCGTGTCCAGTGGAGAACCCAAAGGTTGTTGGTAGATGATTGCGTATATCACATAAGAGGAAGAGCATGAGAAGCACCCCTAATCTTGTGCATGTATTTATGGTGGCCTGTAATAATACTGTTGGTATATGCATGGGGGCAAAACAGATATCTGAGTTTGTTTCAGGGTCTGGTTTCCATGTTAGCATCATTGTTCAGGTTTTTCTTGTTGCTTGTTGGAAACTGCTCCAGTTGAGTGGTTGCCTCTTTGCAAGGATGGGCCTGCCAGACATTATGCAGCAATGAGGTTTGTGAAAAATGAGGAAACATACTAGACCACCTAACTATAGAACATAGAATTCTAGGGCTAGAAGAGACCTCAGAGATCTTCTAGTTCAACCTAAGGTGGGAGATCTTATACCACCCCAGTCTAATGGTTATCTCATCTATTTTTGTAAAAACCTCCAGGTGGTAATTCCAGATGGTAAACTATTCCATTGATTAATTGTTCTCATTTTCAGAAAATTTCTTCTTACTTCTTAGGTTGGATATCTCTTTAACAAGCATCCACCCGTTACTTCTTGTCCTGTCCTCTGGTGCTTTAGAGAATAAGTCAAAGCCCTCTTCTCTGACAGCTCCTTACATACTAGAAGGCAGTTGTCATGTTCCCCTCTAATCCTTCTCTTTGATAGGCTAGAGCAGGGGTGGGATTCTACCAGTTCGCACCTATTCGCTAGAACCGGTTGTTAACATTCTAAGCAGTTCGGAGAACCGGTTGTTAGAAGAAATTACTGGCCTAATCCTGTAAGGAAGGCAGGAAGGAAACATTCTGGTGTTGCTTACAGAAACTGCCTCTCCGTTAACCCTTATTACATTCTTGGCAGGACTAGACTTCCTGTCTCTGGAACTTCTCTGGAGTCCGTCCCACCCCTGGTATTTTGCTTGTGTGGAGTCCATTCAAAGTTACAATGGCACTGAAAAAAGTGCCATTTTTCATACTTTTGACTGTTGCAGCATCTCCATAGTCATGAGAGGCCAGGCAAGGAGATGCCTCGATGTGAGTGATATTGAGTTGGCCACACCCAACCAATAACATGACCACCAAGCCATGTCCACCCAGTCACATGACCACTAAGCCACGCCTACTATCTAAGCCACACCCACAGAACCGGTTGTTAAAAATTTGAATCCCACCCCTGGGCTAGAGGTTAGGCAGCCTGAGCTATGGAGATAAGATGAAGGCAGTATGATGGAAACAGCTAATGAAGTAGCTCTGAGTTGCAATTAGAAGAATGTACAGATACACTCCAGGAGTATTAACCTTTCAGATAGTACTTTTAGAAGTCAGCTGTTGCAGAAAGCTGGCAGAATGCTTCACAGAATTCGTGGCGTTATCTTTTTTCATAGGACATATGAGACAATTCCATGCCAAAATATTACCAAAAGTTTGTTTAAACATACAGGACAAAAATGAGATTTGGATCAGAACTAGGAAAAGAGGGCTAAATCTTTCCCATTCCAGAAACTGGAGATTTATCCAAAATATAGAGCCAAAGGACTTGATTTTGTCTATTTTAACTTAGTCCAAATATGCAATGAAAAAACTTTTTAGGTGACAAAGATAGGCTTCACTGAACAGAAACCAGCAAATGGGAAGTAGCACCAGCAGATGTAAATAAATAATACTTTTTTTTTTGCATTTTATAAGCTTGATTTTGGACATCTAATTCTGTTTTTGGCTGTAATGAAGGCAGTGTTGAGAAAAGTTTTCAATTGAAAATTGTTCCTTTTATGTTAAGAAAAAGAGAATAAAATATGGTAGTTCTTTGATTAATTAAGTAATATGCCTAATTACTCTTTTAAGCTAGCAGAGGAGAAAAAATAATAAATCTGATGAATCTAATGACAAATCTCAGCAAATGAACAATAAATCAAAATGCGGTGTTCACGATTTTTTCCTATAAGGATTACATCATAAACAACTTTTTTTCCTGATAAGAGGAATGTTTTCTTTTCACATCAACCTCTTAATCTTTTTAGATTATCTTCTTGGCAGCAGCATTTTCTCTTTGACAACAGATTTGTCAGAGGATTGTAAGCACTGAATGCAAGAGTACAAAATACGTAGCTTTCAATTAGGTGACTTTAATTAAATTCGCATTGATGAAGCTCTTATACTTAGATGTTTTGATCATTTTCCACGGAACGTATGCAGGGAAGAACATATTATTATTATTATTATTATTATTATTATTATTATTATTATTATTATTAT